CTTCGTTAAGCATTAGATGGGAAGAAATGTAACCCTCCTCCAGCTGGGTTTGAATGCTAGTATTTTATTTGAGTTTAATCTGTTTACCATGACATTACTATTAATGGTTTCATCATCAATTCTGCTTTCCCACCAGTGTTAAGGATGGAGTTTCCAGATGGGCAATGCTAGCTGTCAGCCACTTTTCCCTTATCCATGGCCACAGGCTATCAAGTGAGCCTTGTACCTGGCCACACCATTGGTCCCATGGCAAGTGTGCTCTGGGCTGGCTATCTTGCTTTTTGCAACCCTTTAAAACTCTTTTAATAGATGATTTTAATGCATCTACCACACTTGCCTAATGGCCTCAGGAAAATGAAAATGAGAGGCTTTTGTTATGTCATTATGCAGTGTTTGGCTGATGTTATGGCCTCCTGGTCTCCAGGTCCCTCTGCTCGTGTTTTCTTCCTATTTTTATGAAAGCTTTAAGTCAGGGCAAGCTGCAGCTGCTCCTGTTGGCAAAAACTGGCAAAAACTAGTCCTTCTCTGAGTTCAAGTGCTCGTTCCCTGTAGCCGATTGCTTTGCATCCTCCTGACAGCAGGACCTTGAGGCACATCAGTCCCATGCAGGACAGAGCAATGCATTTTGTTCCTCCCTTTCACGGCAAGGCTGAAAATACATGAAGAAGAGCAGGCAGCTGTGGTCTTAGCTGACAACCTGAGAGGTGTTTTGCTAACAGAAACCCCGAGGAAGGCTGCTGGCAAAAGTCAGCAAGGAACTCTCTTTCCAGGAGAAGCAAAGGAATTATAAATAATATGCTGAAGTACACAAAGTTACCTGAATTATTTTGACCATAAAGCCCAGGACGGAAAAGGCTTTTAACCTTTATTAATCAGTGAGAAGCTGAAAGAGGCCGCACAATCATCTCAGCTGCCAAAGCTGCTGCGCCCTTTTGCTCCCTTTAATTTAATTGTATTAGTCCTGTCCACGTCCTTTGTTCTTCCTCCCCACTCAGGAAATCAGCTGCTGGTTTTGGCACAGCTTGCTCTGGCTCTGCATGGCTGGTTTGTGGACAGCCAGGAGGGACGAGAGGGAGGGCAGGAAGGGGAAGAGGATGGGAAAAGGTCCTGCGGGAGCAACCTGCTTAATGTGCCTCATTTGTCTTAATAGTGCTACTGCATCCCTTCCTGGCAAAACTTCCTCCTGATAAGTCAAACAGGCAAAACTGAATGCAGAAGGACTCCTGCTGACATCAACAAAGATGAGATGTCATGCTTAAACCTTTAAAAAAAAAAAAAAAAAGAGGAGCGCCCACGAGCCAAGTCTTGTGCAGCAGGACCTGCCAAACCAGCAATCGTTCCTACCCCTAGCCTTTGGCTCCATTGAGGGTTGGGGTGTCTTGCTTACAGCTTAGCTGTTCTGGTTTGTACCACTTGTTCCTCATCAGACCGATAAGAAATAGAGCAACAGCTTAGCCCTGGGTCGTCTCCTTGCTTAGTGTGCAGAAAAGGGTCCAGCAAACACAGCAGAAGGATTGTTAATGCTAACCCCTAGCTGTTTTCTCTGTTGGTGGCAATAGCATCACCATACCAATAGCATCACTGTACTCCTTGCCAAAGCACTGTTCCTTGGGGCTGTTGTGGGATGCAAACCCTCCCCTGCCCTCCTGCTGCTTGCTGGACTCCTCTAAACCTCCACCACCTCCTTCTCACCCACCTCTGCAGGACTGCAGCTCCCCTCGCAGCAGCATCCGAGGGCATGGGTAGAGTTTTCCCCACCGTGACACAGAGCAGCGCTAGCTGAGGATGCAGCAGCGTCGTTGCAGCTTCACCAGTTTCCCCAGCAAATGCATTGGCCTCCGCTCTCCTGTCAGCATCGTTGCAAGAACACTGTCAGCTCAACCCACTGGCATTTCTCTTCCCTGCTGCCAGAAATAACGATTCAGCATGTACACGCTGTTTTTAGCACTTGTGTCTCTTTACCTGAGAGTGTAAATATTTTTGTTTAAGAGGAAAAGATAACGTGAGCAGTCTGTCACCTACCCTAGCCCCAAAGCAATCCTCCTGGGGGGTTCAGAGCTGATGGTGTGCCAGGAAAGTCACCCTGGGCTGCTGCTTTTTAGCACAGTTGTCTTTGACTGTAGGAGTAGGAGGATGTGTCCCACTGATGCCGTACTGGAGGGGGGCACAGGAGGTGTCATCATGCAAACTCATGGGTTGTAATAGAAGTATCGGAAAAAAATAAGTGAAAATAAGTCACAAAAAAATTAATGACCTGCTGTGTCAGTACAGCGTTTTTTTTATGACCCTTGGTTTCTCTTCATCTTTCTTAAACGAGCAAACAAACAAATGCAAGAGGTAGTTTCCTGGGCACAGATGCATTATCTCCAGTTCCAGAGTTTCTTCCTGCCGAAGGATGAGATAGTGGAGTAGGTAACCCGAGGGTGTACCTTCATCACCTTTCCATCAAGGAATGATAATGCTTAATATGTGGGAAAAGATGAAGCACTTACAGAAAGCTGTGGTTAAGAAAAAGGACTTTCAGATGATTTTGAATGCTTCAGGCATCTCTGGGAAACACAGTTCTGAGCTCCATATTTTACTGGATTTCTCTGACTCCAGAATCCAGCCACACAAGCTGCCACGAATCCATTACAGCGAGTCCAGGTTTCCCAAATATGTAAAATGTCAAAGTTCTCTGCCTTTCACAGCAATGAATTATCGGTTGTATGCTTGCAGTGCAGTAGTGCGTAGTTCGCTTACTAGTTTTATAGGGGACCCTTCCCTCATTGCTTGCTGTAATTCTTCTTGGATCTGAAGAGTAAAATATATTTGCGTTGGTGTGTGGGATTCTGGAAAACCTCAGGAAAAAACAGGACTGTAAAGGAAGTTCCTTTGTCCAATGAAAAATTTTGTGATGTGTTTTTTCCATGTCGGAATGGAAGTTGGAAATATAGAAACCCCAAAAAAACATTAAGACAGCTGCAGCTACTTATTTTGATTATTTTATTCTTTCTATTTTGTTAGTAAATTTACTTTATGTTGCAACGCAAAGTAGAAATTCTGTGTTTCTTGGATAAAAATTTGGGTCTACAAAGTTGATTTCGGTAGTTTGGGCACTGTGGCAGATCATTTTAAACCAGAAAGTGGCAATCTGCTGCACTAAAAATAAAAAATAATGATCCAGTAAATGACTAATTTTGTGGTCTCGGGTAATTAGTGGAACAGCTTGGCAGATGGAAGGCAGCAGGTCTAAATTACTGCACTAAGTCCATTTGCAGGAAGATGTTATCTGACTTTGTTGTTATTAATAATAATTAATGAGAAAATATTCAGCTGGGATTTTTGCCGTTGCTATTAGTGGGAATAGGTCTATGTATATATATTTATTTGCTCTTTGATGCTTTTCTTGGTTGTTTGCATCACAATCCTTGACTGTCTTGCTCTGGGACTTTAATAATACTCCAGAAATTTTTCAGAGCGCACCTTTGTCTAGCACGGAGGAAACTTGAGGCTTTTACAATTAGTGCTGCTGGTTATTCCATGAAAAACATACACCATGGTGTGACAAGGAAAGCAGCAGTAAAAATTCAAGGAGTAAGCAGAGCTTTATCAGCAGGCTCACAGGGAGCATTGGTTGGCGGCTCACAGCTCGCTTTTGCATCTTGTTGTAGCAGCACAGGTTGCTGGGGAGGCAGGGATAGCATGGTTGCCTCCAGGTCTGCATGGACCTGCACAGCTCCAAAGCCTTCTCTGGTGAAATCCAGACGTGGCTTGGCTGAAGTCCAAGGTGCTTAAATGTCAAGGCCCTAAAGACACCAAGATGGTCGCTTCGTCTTGTGCCCTCCGTGACACCAGCCTGAGGTGTTTCTGCTGGGCATTTCCACCCTAAACCTGTGTCCCGTGGTAGGTTTTGAGCACGTGTTTTACGAAACCCTTCAACTAACAGGGTTCCCACGATGGGGGAGACTTTTAATGACCTGGTTTAGTGGATAATTGCTCTCCCTGTAAAAACAAAACAGGCTTCTTCCTTTGCTGTCAGCTTGACTCTCCTGAGTTTCAGTCTGCCAGCCCTGGACTTTGCTCCACCTGTGTTTGGCAGAGTTAGAGCCCTTCAGAGTCTGCAATCTTCCCACATGCCCTTAAAGACTAGGAGGAGCCGTTTCCTAATCTTCTTTTTTAAAAGGATAGTGATAATTGAGGACTTGTTATTGATTCTATTGTCTTTTAGGTGGTTTGTGTTTGGATTTTTTAGATGAGTTGTAATTTTTCCTTTTTGTCATTGTACAACTGCTGTTAATAATTGCTGTTCACTGTGTCTACATCAAAGGATGTGGGCCCCGCTTCTGTTAAAGATCTAACATTTGGGGCTCTGATGGACAGTTGAAGGGGTGTTGATTTGGTTTTGGGCACCTTTGGAGAAAAGTAGGTGCAGCAATCAGAACGCTGTTTACTCACCTCCTCAGAAGGTTTTGTAAGTCGTGTTTGTTATTTTTAGTGGCTCCTTTACAAGTGGTATTGTATCTCTGGTTCAGTTTCAGTTCTGGTTGTAGGCTGGACTACATTCTGCCGTCCTTAATCAAATACTTTCTTCACTTTCTTTCACTTCATTTGATTTTGCTGAGAAATTGCAGAGTGAGATGATACTTAGATGAATTAAATTGAGGATGAGATGGGGGATTAGATGAATTCTAACAAGTACATTCTGTGCTTTCCATGGGAAGATTTCTAAGTTTCATCAAACCAAGAGGGGCTCTTTTCCCCAGACACAGATTGTATTATACCCTATTATTAATACAAATGCTAAGCTATCTTGATGGTAATAGCCATCTTTTGGTGAACTTTCAAACCATGGTCATACCCAGAGCCTCCATGAAAGGATGTGAGCTCTTTTACAGTCTTATGTACTGTGACTGCAAGGGAATTGTTCCTCCTCCAAGTGCCCAAGCCTTTGCAGGGTGGACGTATAAATGTCTTGTTTATGGTATTTATCCACTTACCTGCATTTTTTCTGTTTGCAGCGTTTTTGCTCCTGCATATGTCGGTCTGGTGGGAAATCTCATAAATACCGTGATAGCAATGGTTTGGATCCCTTTGCCGGCTAAACCAAAGTCAGATCATCATGTAACAGAGCAAAGTAAGTATTTAATGTTTCTAATAAATAGTGCATGAGTAAGGACGGGGGATTGATATGCTGTAAGGACTGCTAAAGGACTTGGGGTTGAACTTAAGGGCAAAAAGGTGCTAAACTTGAAATGCTGACACTTTAATGCCTAAGCTGTGCTTGTGGAAGAGTATTATTCCTTACCTGTCAATCACTCTGCCATGCAAAAAGGAAGGCTTCCAGCCTGGTGCTTGCCATGCATCTCGGAAAAGGTGAATGTGGACCCCTCTCTGGGGGTAATTTTGGCCTGGCATGGGAGGCAATCCTGCTGTCTCACAGGGGTCCTCTGCACGCAGACCTGGCACCAGTTCCCAACCTCCTGCTCTTGGCAGAAAACTGGTGCTGCAGAGACACACCTTGTCAGAAAAGTGATGATGAACCCGAGCAGGCAGTCTCAGAGTTTCTTGCTTCCTGTCTCTAACCTGTATAAATAGAGTATTAATCAGTATGTCATCTTCTGTAGGCACATCACAGTCTGGCAGCGTGTTTAGCATCAGAGAAATCCTACGCCTGATGAAGTTTCCGGGAGTAATGGAAATTTTCATAGTCAAGGTCTTTGCTGGACTTCCCATAGGTAAATCTCACCCATTACCCATGATTGTTGATGTATTTAAAGTAAGGTGACATACACTGCAGACCAGGCTTGTCTCCAGCTGCTGAAAGCGTGTTGCATTTGATCATGGAGCAGTGAGGCTTCAGCTCCTAACTTGATGCTGGATGCTTTCAAATGCTCGCAGCCACACAGGGTCAGACCCCTAGGACTTAATGTAAAACAGACTACTTGTCACAGGCTGCTTCTGCGACCTTTGGCAGATCACTTTATCTCTCCACTCCATCCCTCTGGCTGTAAATGTTTTTTTCTCTTGCCCGTCATTTCTATTTAGGCTGTAACCTTTTCAGAAGAGAGGGAAATGATTTGCACTCTGCCAGAAACACCGAGGTCCTTCCTGATTTTGCTTAATGATTTTAAGGGGTATGTTTACCCTAACCTTTTTCCCAACAACTAAAAACTGCGGCTGGACAAGTGGCTGCGGCTGCTCTAACTGTCAGCTGCGCGCTGGGGAGCCACAGCATGTTTCTTCCCTTGCATGTCGATGATGGTGCTTGTTCTTCTCTCCTTTATATATTCTGCTTGCATTTTTTGTGTCATGATAGGAACCTGCTGCTACCTCAAACCCATCTCACTCCTGCCTGTTTCCCTGCTCCCTTTGAGTCACGTGCTGTCCTGGCATGGTCCATGTCTCCTGATTTGCCTGGTCATACATATCCCGGACCACAATTCAAGAATTTTTAATTTTGCCTACCCTCTAGCTGCTTCTTCACCCACTTGTCTAGAGACAAGCGGGCGTGTCAGTGGTGGTGTAAGGACAAGGTGACATTCTCTGCCCTTCTACATAGAGAGCCTTCACAGCTCTTTTCCCTGTCAAACCCAAAAGTGCAGTTTCTCTTGATTATGGTTTCAAGGATTGAATATTGTGCACGTCATGCATATGAACAAACTAAGGCACTTCCCTCCCAAACAGGGATCCTAAGACAGGATTTAAGGCACCTCAGCTTTTATACTTTGCATCTTTTTCCAATTCATCTGTGCCTGGAGAAGCCCTGAAGTTTAAATAATATGAAACATAATTTTCAAATTAAATTCTAATTTGTAAACTGCAAGTTCAGTTTACAAATGACAGTAGATTTGGCTGTGGAGAGTGGCTGAAGCGGAAGGGGATGGCATTTCTGGGGTTGGTCAGGTTCATCTGTTATTCCTTGCTAAGGCTCTGGGGGAACAAGTCCAACTAGATCTGCAGAATAACATTCAGGGAAGTAAAGGACTTCTGATTTTTTTTTTCTTTTTGTGTGTAGTTGGCATTGGCTGAGGTCAGTAACACCAGTTGGTCCTACCCCCACCACTGGAGACAGGGTACAGTCTCCATGGACTGCTGGCTTGCCGCAGTAGTGCACTTTTTGGGTTCTTATGAAACTTTTAAAATTACATTTTAAAACTGTATTTTTAAAAGTGTTTATAAAATGAGAGCATTTCACAGAACAAGACAGTCAGGTGATGCTTTAAGAGGGTTTTCTTTGCCAGTTCTGGATTGTTTCTCGGCTTAAAGTAACATTCATTTCTCCATCTACGAATGCCTGAGACCGCATCCGTATGCAATCTGCACGGTAATTTCCTGTGCACTTTGCTTTTTCCAAAGGCCGAGTGAAATGCACTTTGTTTTAGTCATCCCTGCAGAAATGCAAATTCCTCCCTGCTGCAGAAGACATTATTTTCCTGTGCACAGCAAAAACACACACCCAACCAAGATTAACATCTCTTGCCCAAAACAGCAAGGGAACTTCTAGGCAGAGGATGGAGACAGCGAAGTGAGATTTAAGGCAGGACATGGGCTAATAGTCTGGCACTGAAATGGCTGGGAGTGTTTCTGTAAGGGTAGGAATGGCTTCACTTGAGGCACTCCTGCTACAACTATAGCGCTTGCACTACAGTGAGAAGTGATTAAAATACTAGTGACTTCTCTTTGCAGGTCTCTCTTCATTTAGCATACAATGGCCGCTGAAAGGGGATTTGGCCATCACCTACTGCTCTGCAGCTCACAGCTCCTCATGAGCTCATTTACCTTTCATCTCAAGGCTGCAACTGTATAATTAATTAGATCACTGAAATTACAGACTGTTCTCTATTTACTTTGTAAACAAGTTTGTGATATACACAGAAGAAAACCTTCTGTTCCTTATGGATCTCATTGTTGTCTAAAATTAGCTTGTTTGAGACCGAAAGAGCCTCCTTGGGAGGGCTGCAGGGCTGGGAACCTCTTCTCTGTGTTGCACAAAAGCAGAGACACGGCTCTGTGCCTCTTGCAGGAGAGTAGCTGCCAGGGGATGGATGGGCAGCAGATCACTCCAGCATAGCTGAGTTACATTCTCAGCTGACCTGGAAAAAAGAGAGCCTCATTGCACTGAGGTAGATAAGAGACAGAAAACAACAGGATAAAAATGTCAAACATGACTCGACTGACCAGAAACCACCAGGACCTTGAAAATACTGATAAATAGCTGCTTGTGTGAAACTTTGACTGCCTAATCCCTTTGGAAAACCTGGGTTTAGCATGATTGCTTTAGCACCTGCATTCCATTTTTAAAAGGACTTTCTTTCACGTGTAGAACAGGATTTTGCAGTGAGCCGTAGGGCTCAGCATCCCATCACATTTGCAGTCCAGCGTAGGAGGGTTGAGACAGGCTCCCAGAGGCCGTGCTCACCTTTTGTACCGACTCTCTCTTGGTAAGGACTGCTAGGCTGGCCCGCCAAAGCCACAGGCTGCTTTTAGAAATGTCATGTCTTTTTTTTTGAAAATATGGTTTGCACTCCTGGCTCTCCTTGGTGCTTTTCCTCATCTTTATCACATCTCACAACCCATTTACCTGCCTTCTGCTGCTTAACCCTGGTTACTCGTCCCACTGGTGCCAGGTTTTCTAAGGAAGTCACCCCTTATGTAGACCCCTTCAAACAAAGGCAAGGTTAACCTGAGTCTTGCAGTGTGGATTGAGGCTTATCTGGGCAGCTCCTGCTTCGGGTTTCGGTGTCCCCAGAAGAGCCTGGGGACACGCCACCCCAGCAAGCCAACCCAAGGGTGGGTTCTTTTGGCTGCACTCAGCTAACCTGCAGCCTACCCAGACAGGACCTGCTGAGAATTTTGTAAGAAATGCTTGTTCCAATGAGGTTAAAATCTTTTGAGTTCAATCTGGGGCTCACCTTGTGGGTTTCACCAAGAAATGTGTTGCCAGTGGGAGACACTCCCTTAGTTGCTGGAAGAAGGGGGGACAAGGTGGTCTCCCTTGTCCAGGTAGTTTTAAATGACCATGCAGGCACAGGGGATGACACCCATCTAAAGAGAAGACCTTTGCATCTCCAAGGGAGCTGTGCAATGTGTAACCCTCATGTAAAGTACAGGCTATCCCCCTGCTCTGAAAGAAATCAGCTCGTTTGGGGGAGAAAGATCCACATCTGCCTTAACTCGATGGGGGACTTCAAAGGGGAGAGGAGCTGTAGAAGCTGGCGCCTGGTACTGGGAAGAAGCGTCAGGTATGTAGGAAGGTTGAGCCCCTCCTAGGTGGTACCTGCAGCAGGGTAGCAGGATGAAGGGCGAGCGCCCGCTTCGATCTAATCTTCCTACAAGTGAAACGAAGTGTGGTTTTTCTTTCATTTCTTCACGTGTGCCTTTTATAAACATGTGCAACTCTGCTGCCTGGTTTGGATGTTGTGCATAAATACTATTATTTGCATGTTACCTTAAACTGGCTTGAGCTAAGAGCAATTTCAAAGTAACTGGATAACGACTGGGCGTGCTCCGTGGAGGGGTGTGGCAAAGCCATAAATCTTTATGAGCCCCAGTTCCCCAGCATCTTCTCCAAATAGCCAGAAAGTAGCAGAGCAAGGCACCCTTCCTGCCCCCCATCCCTCTCCCCCTATGCCATGGGGCCAGCTGGGGTACAGCTATCTCCGATGAGAGGGGAAGAGGTATCCCTGGTGGGGTTCAGGAAGTCTTTGTGGCAGGTCCTCTGTGGGAGGGCGGTGGTCCCTCCAGGCAAAGGCTTGGAGTGCTTGGAGGGTGGTCCTCATTGCTGCAGGGGCTCCACTGGTAGCGGCACTGTTGAGCTGCTGCATGCAATGGAGTTGCACTGGTTTGTTAGGGTGTGAGTCCTCCACGGCATTTTAGTCAGCAATTTGGGATGGCTGTCCTCACGCTTCCGGGAAATGTCAGCAAATCCTTCCCGTGCCGCAAGGTTAGTGACTTGCTTTGCCAGGCCACAAGCTGTCTTCTCAGTCCTCACAGGTTGCCTCCTGGGCTCAGTTTTCTTCAGGAACGAGAGGACTGCACCTCCCTATTTACCCAGTCTTTGTACCTCGGAGGATCCTGCAAGGAAGGGCAGGACCCCTAAAGGTCATCTGCTCTCTTCTCGTCTCCCCAGCAGGATCAATGCTCTCTGATAGGCACATTGTAGGGTTCTTCACACGCCTAATTTCCTGTTGTCTTGGTCCATCTGAGATGCACAAGACGCCAGGGGAGGCAGCAGCCTCCTACCCCACACCACTCTGAGAGAAATGTTTTGTGATAATGTTTTTAATTTGATGGCTCTTTGTGTGTACCATGGGAGTGTGTGTATATGGGTCTGTATTTGTGTATGTTTGGCAGTGAGGGAAATGCACATTATTGTATTTTCATGTGAGATTAAATGAGTGGGCATCTTGCATTACACTTTCCAGAAATTGCCTTAATTGAAAAGCAGACCCAGCCTTGTGCTGTTTCTGTCTGTACTTTTCTGACTGCTTGTGCTGACACCACTATTGATCCATGCCAGAGATATTTTACGTGCCACCAATGTCATTGCCAGCTGTGCAGACAAACCACTGTATTTAGGCTGATGTCACTGGCTTGTTCCCCATGGTGAAAATCTAGAGGCAGAAGGGGCAAGGAATTCAATCAGATTATTTTTATGGTTACAGTCTTGTCTGAACAATTGTTTTCTTGCTGTTTTAATGGTTAGTCTGGCTTCAGTGATACAAATATTTACCAGTTTATAATAAACAGCTGAATCTACAGCCTACATAGTCACATTATTTAAAGATGAAAGTAAGGGGGATAAAAAAGTTAATTTTTAAAGATTAAATTACTACACTAACTTTGAATAGGATTCTGCTCATGTTTATATCCAGTCCCAGCAACCCCAGGGAGAGCTACTGACTCATACTGGGGATGACTGGGAGCAGGGTCTGGGCCACTATATGCAGTGCAAGTATGCTGATGTATATGCTTTTCATTAACCCTCCCTCTAGGTTTGTTCCTGATTATGTTTTCCATCATCTCTATGGATTTCTTTGGCTTGGAAGCAGTGGAGTCTGGATACCTGATGTCATATTTTGGTGTCCTTCAAATGGTAAGTGAAGTGGAAGTCCCACTCTTGCCACACTGCTATCTAATTTGCTACCTTTTTGACACATGCTTTTCCAAATCCAGATGTAATATTGACAAGCAAATCCTAGCTCTGCAATGTGGCACTTGACTTCAAAAACCAGAAGTGACTCCAAAGTTATTCTGTTCCTTGGAATGGGAAGTAATCAGAGCAAGGTGTGTCCTACAAGCTTTCTTCCCCTTGTCCCTCTTCACAGATCTGTAAGCTGTGGAGCTAAAATTTCCTTGGCGTGACAAGTTGTCTTGGTTTTTGTTACAAAACCTACGCTGAGGCTAAAGTGCCTTGATTAAGGTCTTTCCTGGTGCAGGTTAGCTATTTACATTTATTTAGTAGCATCCTGTAAATTTATGTAAGTAGACGATTTTCCTGGCATTTTCACAGATCCCTTCAGTGTAGAGGAAGGACTTATTTCTGCTGTGGGAAACAAGCACAGCAAGCTTGTACTTTCAAAAAAAAAAAAAAAGAAAGAAAAAAGAAAAGAAAAAAGGTGAGCAGTGGAACATGGTTAGGAGACTACCAAAATGGGTAAAAGGGAAAAGTCGGCTGAATTAGGCAGTAGCAGGGCCAAAAAAATAAGGTGTTGTGTTATAACAGAGTGTTCCTTTCAGAGGAAGAGGCTAATAGTTTTGCAGAAAGAGCAACAGATGGTTTTAAGCAAGCCTGAAGGTAGGAATGCAAGTTAAGCAATATCCTGAAGGAGGGTGGTCTTGTTATTAAATCCGCCTTCGTTTCCCGGGCATTGCCGCAGAGTTTCTGTGGGATCTGGAGGAGCTCCTCACCTGGGAAATGGCAGCTTTTCCCTCCCTTGTGATTTGGATTTGGCATGGTGTTGCCAGTCACTTGCGCTCTGCCCTGGTTCAACCAAATCTGGGCACCTTGGTAGAGCAGCTGACGAGCATGGCTGGTACATCAGCAAGTGGAGTCTGCAGAGTAAACTGGATGGAGCTGAGGAGCTGATGCCTTTGTCATGTGCATTCTGGGAGGGTGCCTTTGAACTAGCTGTTTCTTGGTCCTGTGAGCACAACATCTGCTACCAGCTGGATACACTCTACCATCCAGTCTCGTTGGAAAGAAAACCAGTTTGCTGCTCCACAGCATGGAAACAGCATGACAAGTGGGGTGATCAGCAGCTGCTTTCCGAAGCATGC